CCAAAGCTGCAGGGGAGCTCTTTGGGAATTACTTGTTTAGGCATTTAGCACAGTGCCATCCTGTGCCAAATATATATAGTATGCTGCGCCTGCCCTTCCCCATGCTGTGGCCTTTTAATACAGTTCCTCATGTTGTGGTGACCCCCAACCATAAAGTTATTTCACTAGCACTTCATGACTGCAGCTTGCTACTGCTATGAATTGTAAGGAAATATATGCAGGTTATCTGATGTGCGGCACCTGTGAAAGGGTCCTGGACACCCTCCCATGGGTTCATGACCCACAGGTTAAGAACCACTGCAATGCAACAGGCCTCTACAAGGTGGCGCCTCCGGGCACATATGGGGGATGCTTGCCTTAGGAAGCAAAGGTAACTGGCAAGAGCACCCGCTTTTTTCAGGCCAGCTTTCCAGCGAAACCTCTGCAGTAAGCAGGGGCCTGGGGAGGACTGTTCCAGGGTGAATCCCTGACGTCCCAGCAGGATTAGCCAGCCACAAGGAGGCCGCGTGGACAGGAGAAAGACACAGTGACCTCTGGGGGGGGGGGGTCAGAGGTGTCCCGTTCCCCCCAAACCTGGCCTGAGGTTCACTCCTTCCAGCTAGAGGTTTGTTTGTAGGGGGAATGGGACAAGATTTACCCTAGGAAAGAAATAAAAAGAATTTCTGATTCACAGATTCAATGAAATTCTAATATAAATGCCAGCAAGTTTTTTTTTTTTTTTTTTTTTTTTTCTTTAGCAGACATTAATAGGCTGGTTGGCTTTTGTTTGTTTGTTTTTATTTCTGCTTTTTGAGACAAGGTTTCTCTATAGCTTTGGAGGCTGTCCTGGAACTCTGCAGACCAGAGATCTGCCTGCCTCTGCCTCCTAAGTACCGGGATTAAAAGCGTGCACCACCACTGCCCAGCTACAAGCTGGTTGTTCAAGGGGGCAGAAGCAGAGGGAGTTTGGAGACAGTCTCATACTGTGGCCCAGGGTGGTCTCAAACTCACAACAATCCTCCTGCCTCAACCTTGCAAGTACTGGGATGCAAGGTGTGAGCCACCAGCACATACAGCTCGACTTGTTAACTTTATAAGGAAAGAAAGGACTAGAACAACCAAAGCAATCCCGGAAAAAGTCTATGGGGTGACTGGGCAGTGACCTGAGCTAGGAGCCCACCCTGGGCAAGCCATGAGAAGCAGACTGGCTGGACAAGTGGGGACAGGAGCCCTAGGGTGCAGGCTGCTGCTCCTCAGTTGCATACTCCAGGCCTTGCAATGCTTCTGGTTGGACAGAAGCTGTGAAATGAGTGAGGATGGCCTCCTCCCAGGACTATCTACTCTAAAGTTTCTCCTACTCCTTTCTCTTGGCCACACAAGCTCATTTCTACTCCCATGCACCCACCTCGCTGCTTCCCCAGCTACTGTCCTACTGTAGGGTTAGCACACGTGTTCTCTAAGAGTTACTTAGGCGGGTTCAAGCTGTGTTTGTTAGTAGCCCTGTTGGGAGGGAGGGCTCCCTGGCCTCAGAGCCCCACACTGGCTGGATGCTACATTAGCTCCCCATCAGGCGAAGCCAAGTTTTCTTTCATTCCCAATTGTTTAGATGAAGATACCGAAGCTCAGCTCAACGAGGCAGTGTGACTCAGGCATTTGCAGGTCCTGACCCCCAATCTAGATGTGACTCTCAAGCCCCAGGCCACTCTACTCCTAGTTATACAAATCAATTGAAATGGCCACTGGCCAAGTGTCTGTGCAGTGTCAAGGCAACCAGACCTCTGTACGCAGCAGCAGGAGACCTGCAGGGTTGGGGGCACAGAGAGCAGGTCCCCGGGTCACCTGGTGGTTAGAGTCCAGAGCTGGGTGGCAGTGTGTGATGGAATGGCTGAGGAGTCCCAGGTCAGGGCACAAGAGAAGTGAGGAAGAAAGCGGACAAGGAGACGGCCTTTTCCTCAGCCCGAGAGTCTGGGTCAGGAGGCATCAGGCACAGCTCAGCCTTGCCCACGCTGCCCACTCCACTGTCTGTGTAAACCCGGGGCGCATGGGTAACGGTCCCAGGAGTTAAAGAGCCAGGGGTTCCATCACCCCGCAGGTTCAGGGCTCTGAGGAGTACCTAGGCAGGCACTGTTCTCCCAGGTCACCCAGAGCTGCTTGCCCCAGGCTTGCCCTCTGGCTTACTTAGACAGACTGCTGCTTGCACTTGCAGGGCCCCAAGAAGTCGACGTGTTCACTGATGACCAGCCTCAGAGGCCAGCCCTGCTGTGAAGCTGAGGGTCTCCCTTTCTCCCCAAGGGGACTGTGGCTATCTGGGTCTGCTGGAATTCACAGGCGTCCGGCAGGAACCCCTTTCTGCCTTGAGTTCCTGCCCTCTGCTCCATCCCACCCTTCCTGGAGAGCGCGGGCCTGGAACACTGTGGTCTACGGTCCAGTCCAAGGGTCTGGCTCCAGGTACTCTGGCTGAGACTCAGGCTTGCCTTCCTGGGTCAAGCCCTGCACTTTGGAGGCGTTCGAGTCACAAGAGCCTGCTTTTCTCTGACAGGCAAGTACAATTCCTTCCTAACTGCCCCCCCCCCCATTCCCAAGCCAGACAAGCTGCGTGGTACTCATGGCTTCCAGAGAGCGAGAAAAGCAGAACGCAAGTCCAGTGAAGGGAAGCACAGCCTAATCCAATGTCTAACACGCTTGGTCCTCAGCTGCTATGACAAAAGGACAGATGTCCAGTGCTCTATCACACATGACCTCTTCAAACCTAGCACAAGTGAGCAGGGCCTTGACGTTGCCTCAAAGGGATGACCTTTTACCAACAGGAGCCTGGAACTAAGCATTCCCCCCTCTTCTTCCTCATAGTTAGGAAAACGGTCATAACTTATGTGCTCACCTTCCTCCAGTCAAGAAAAGCCGCATTTTGCTGTAGTGGAGATGGGTTTGCCTTTGGTTATTGTTTAAAAATAAAACCACACATTACAGATAGTTAAAGCCATTACCCCCCCCCCATTTCTTTGTCTGTGTTAATCTGCAGCTGTCTCTCCCTCCGTGTTCACACTGTTTTTTTTTTTTTTTTTTTTTTTTTTCACGGTACCTAGCAGCTTATCAACACTTCCTCTTGTAAACAGCCCGTGTCCCTTTAGAGACTGCTACCACCCAGCGCTGCCTCCCAGGAGAGGCACCATGCAGCACACAGCAAATACGCTGGGCAGTTGGTACGGACTGGGTAACATGCAGGCACCACTTCTAAATCTGACTCTCAATCCAAACTTGCCCCTTCTTTGCAGCAGCACCGTCTGCGATGCAGCCACATGCGGTCTCACAGCTGAGTCTCTTGCTAACTGACCAGCGACCCTTCTTTCTCAGCAAGGAAGGCGAAGAGACCATCTGGTACATGAGAGACAGCCAGAAAAGGAGACTCAGGGCTCCAGCTGGCAACTGAGAACCCATGAACAAGCCAGGAAACCTTCTAAGTACAAGGAAGACCATGTGGGCACTTACCCCCAAATCAAAAAGTCCAGGGGAACTTGGCAAAGAGACCCCCGAGGAGCCAGGGGCTCCCAAAACCACATAGCTCCATACAGAGCAGACTCTACCACCACAAGGCCTCTTAGAACAGAGAACTGTTGCCATGTTCTGAACCCAAGAGAGATGGCAAGGACCTCAAAGGTCTACCAACAGGACAAAATATAAGGGCTTCCTGGCTGCTGCTGCTGCTGGAGGAGATGAAAAGGACCCAGATGAGGGCCCTGCTCTTTGAGACATTCCTCAACCCCAGTGAGGCTGATAAAGGAAGGCCTGTTCCAGTACGACAGCCCAGCTTCCTCTGCGGAGCTCTGCCTGCCCACAGGGCCGTCCTACCTTCCAAGCAGCAGTACCTGTGTATGAAGGAAGCTTGGCCAGGGTAGAGGAAATCAATGATCTCTATCTATAAAGATGGTAAGTCTACCTGCAGCCACACCGCAGCTGAGAACTGAGCGGGACGTGAGTGTGACTCCTGGGACGTCGGTCTGTCCTGGCCCAGAACATGAGCTGCCCAGCTCCTCCCGGCTCTACAGTTGGTTCCCGCACACCCAGCAGTTTTTTAAATAAAGCAACATGGGGAACTCTGTGGAGGGCACGTCCAAGTTATGAGGGAAGACCTCATGCCTGCCACCATGACAGAAGGGGCTAGCCAAGCCCTCATAAGTGACTTAAACCTCATAGTCAACTTAAACCAACTCAACCAAAGCAGGACAAGTGCTCTAACTATAAGGGGAGTACAAGCAAAGAGAAGGAAGGGGTGGTCTCCGGGCCAAGCTCCACGCGTAAACTGACTGTCAAAGACTGACTCCAAGCTGGACATGGTGCACACCTGTAATCACAGCACCTGGAGGTGAGAGCAGAAGGATCAGGAGTTCAAGACCTGCCTCGGCTACAGAGAGAGGCGAGGCTAGCCTGGACTGCAGGAGACCCTGTGTCAACAAAGAAAGAAGCAAACAAGGATGCTGACTCCAGGCTGAGAAGGCAGGAATGAGTAGATGATGGTCCAATCAGACCGTCACACATAGGTAAGGAAGCAGAACACATAAAAAGTACATGACAAGTCTAAAAGATGTAATAAAGACGCGGTTACAATATAACACAAGCTAAGAGCTAGACCAGCATTCCTCAACCTGTGGGTCACGACCCCTTTCGTGACCCTTTTACAGGGGACACCTAAGACTATCGGCAAACACAGATACTTATACCACGATTCATAACAGAAATAACTTTATGGTTGGGGTCACCACAACATGAGGAACTGTATTAAAGGGTCACAGCATTAGGAAGGTTGAGAACCACTGAACTGGACGGTAAGGGAGGAAATCTTACAGACGGACACATATAGGATATACAGAGGCAGTCCTAACTAGTGAACGTTCATCTTTTCAGGTCTGAACAAGGCAGCCATGTGAGCAATGTCCGGTCCTGAATGTAGCCCCGGGAAGATGCTGTTGGGGAGGGCAGGGCAGCCGCAGCGCTGTGTGGCATGCCAGACCCCGCATAGGCACTACCTGTGCTTCCCATCTTCTTCTTCCTCTTCTCTGAGCTGCTTGGTCTGTGGCTCCCCGTCTTCCTTATCCTGTAAAGAAAGAACGAACCACTGCTCAGATGAACACTCACTCCTACTGTGGTCCAGGTCCCCTGGGGAACTGGTGAGGACAAGACCATCAGGGCCAGGTGACTGAGGGGTGCAGTGCAGCCTCGCTCTTCCCCTGCCCCTTCCTGGGTAGAACTTACAACTCCACAACCGTCCCAGCACTAGGGAGGCAGAGGCAGATCTCTGTGAGTTAAGGCCAGCCTGGTCTATATAGGAGGTCTAGGACAGCAGGGCCTCATAATAAAATTAAAAACCATACAAGTCTTCCATGATCCCAGCCCAAGCTCGACACAGGCTGTTCTTATGACAAGCAGGGAGAACGAGAAGGTCTCAGATAGCAGGGAAGGAGCTGGTCAGGGCCGGATGGCCACTCGCCCCTTCATCGGGCTGGGGGGGGGACGGGGGAAAGATGGTCACCAACCACTAGGACAGGATGAGAATGCAGATTCCTTCATTCTTTCCAGCCCATTTGGATCCCTTTACAAGTGACCTAACTTGGACCAGGCTTGGAACAAGATTCACTGCCCAGGTCTGTGAGGTACTAAAGGAGACGGGGCAAAAAGAGCTCATTTAACAGTCTGTCTGTCTGTCTGTCTGTCTGTCTGTCTGTCTGTCTGTCTGTCTGTCTCTGTGTGTGTGTGTGTGTGCTATACACACATGCCATAGGGCACATAGGGCACAACTTCCAGGAGTCTGAAGAGTTAATTTTCAGGAATTGGTTCTCATCCTCTACCATGTGGGCTCCAGGGACTGAACTCGGTTGCCAGGCTTGGTGGCAAGCACCTACACCCAACTGGGCCATCTCATTAGCCCACAAATCTGCCTGCTCCCCCATTTATGTAAGACAGGTTATCTCCAAGTGCCTTGAGGACCACAACTTAAGGGCATCACGAGGGCCGCCTCCACCTACTACAGAAGGAAATGCCCTGGGTCCCCTGCTTCCCAGCATCACTGTGGTTGGACTAGCTGCCCTGTGGACAACAGGTGTGTATACACATGGACAGAATCAAATGTATGGAGCCATGCCACAGGCCCAAGGCTTGAACTATGTCCCAGGAGGAAGCCCTTGCATGCCAACGCTAGCCATTTAGAAGATGTCAAGCTCACTTTATTACTGGCAATGAACTCTGCTGTAGTGGTGTTCTGAGAAGAAACCTGGAAGCTTCTACTTTGCAACCTGTTGTGATGGCTGAGAATAGGCTGGATCTGACATTAGATTTTAAGTAGCTACCTGCAATTCCTCTTCAAGAAAGTCCTGTACACTACCAACCGCTGCCTCCCTATGGGATGACATCTGCTTCATGTTACTGTCTACCAGTGCTCATCCTGGAGATACAGGGCAATGACAGACACTGCCATTCCGGCCATATGGAGGCTGGCTCATTGAAAGCCTTCCATAATAGAACATGTCAAGATACCTTCTGTCCTTAACCTATGCACCTCGGTCTCATGGGAATGAGACAGTAGGAATGAAACTAGACAAGATTTTCTGGGAGTGTGGTCTAAAGAACAGACCGAGGTTCAGGCTTGAGAAACAAGTTGGCATTCTCTAAGTGGATCACAGGGTAGGAGGGGCCTCAAGAAACTGAGCTGACATAGGCCCCTCCCTGACTAAAGGCTTGCCCACAAAGCTACAAGAAGTGTACATATTCTTTCTTTCTCTTTTTGTTTTTGAGACAAGGTCTCACCATGTAGCCTTGGCTGGCCTGGAGCTCTCTATGTAGGCCAGGCTGGCCTCAAGTTCATTGAGATCCACCTGCCTCAGTGACCTGAGTGCTGGGACTAGAGGCGTGCAGATATTCTAATAAAGAGCTCCCTACCAAAGGCAAATCCCAGAAATGCTTGCCTCCAGAGAAGGGGCTGGTAAACTGCTCCCTGGGATGGACTGGTAGAGCAGAGGGCTCAGCCTATGCCGACCCCCTCCCCAGCTTCTTTCTGGAAGGTTCCATGGATCTGTGTAGGAAGGACCTGCCTCTAGGAGGAGTGCTTTGCTTTGCCCACACCATGCCCCTTCCTAACCAAGGGCAAGGTTAAACTCGGCCAGAGCCAGGCTGCTGCTGCCACCTCCAAGAGCCCCAGAAACACTTAAGTGCTTGGCAAGGGCCAAGTTACTCATTAACAAGAGAGAAAACAGCCACATACCCAAGTGACATTTTAAAACCTCCTGGTCTCAGATGAGCTCAGAACTGGGGGGAGGGGGAGGAGGGAGAGACACAACACAACAGATAATTCAGAAATAATTCAAAAATGGCTCTCAGAGAAAAGAAAAGATGAGAAGAGATGCCCAAGGTCACAGAACCAGTAGAGGATCTGGATCATGGCCCTCTAGGTCTGGCCCAGCATTCCTGCCAAGATGAGAGGCATAGCCTGTCAAGAGCAGTACTGAGTTCCTGAAAATGACTCTGACCTCAGCCACCTTTCCTGCCTCCCCACATAGTTCAGGCCTGTACAACCACATGCACAGATGCAGCCACAGTCAGCCACAGCCAGCCATAGCCAGCCCAAGGCACCGGTGGACACCCAACAAGACCGGATGCCTAGGGATCTCACATCCAGAGATGCTATGAGGCCCCCCTAAATCAAGCTCAATGTTCTAACCCTGGGCTCCATAGTCTTCCCAACTTTCTCTGCCCTTCCCTTCTTCCCCAGCCCCATCTTCCATTCTTGTTTTTCCCCCTTTAGGTTTATGAGTTTTTGCTTGCATGTATGTCTGTGCATTACATGTGTGCCTCCCACAGAGGAAAGGAACCAAGGTCTCTGCAAGAACAAGTGCTCTTAACTGCCTGGCCCCACCCCACATACGAAAGAGTTGCTTGCATGCATGTCTGTGTATCACAAATGTGCCTGATGCCCACAGAAGCCAGAGGAGGGCACTGAATCCCTACAACCGGAGTCCAGACAGTTGGAAGCAGCCATGTGAGTCCTGGCAATCGCACCCTGACCATCTGGGAGAGCAGCAAGTACTCTTAGTTAGTGAGCCACCTCTTCAGCCCTCCTATTCCCCACTCTTGCTCCCTCTGAGGCTCTTACAGCCAAGTCCCAGCCATTCTTCTCCACCCTAACTAACCAAACAGCTCTCGCCTCTAGAATCCAGTTTCCTAAACTGTGAGTCAGTACTCCATATGGGGTCACATAACCAAATGTGAGAATCATGAAAAATTTAGCAAAATAGACAATAACGAAGAAATAATTCAAAATTAAACACACTATGAATCCACAGGGTCTCTGAAGTACTCACCTGTGCTGTGTGGAGGGACTTCACTATGGCCTTGGTTCTGAGCACAGTTTGTACACTTTCCCCTGCTTGTGCCATCACCATAAATGCCAATGGTGTCGGGAACACCACTGATGACTACCCTAGGTTATGAACCAGAGTGTTTTTATTAAATGTTTCTGTTTTTAGGAAAACTTACTATGAAAAAAAAAACATTTAAAATTTTTCCTACTATTATTCATTACCATGTGTCAAATTAGAATATTTTTGGGTTAGACTGTCAGTATGTTCAATTTTAAAAATATCTGCGTGTGTGTATGAGTACACATGAATTTATATAGGCATGTGGAAGCTAGATGTAAGCCTTGGCTGTCGTTGCTCAGGGGTCACCACTTGGGCTTTCGTTTTGTTTTAGTATAGATTTATGTAATGTGTAAATGTGTGCGCCCCAGTGTATGTAGGTATGCTATTCCCTGCAGAAGTCAGGAGAAGACTTCAGATCCCCAGGAAATGGAATTGTAGATGGTTGTGAACCACCATGTGGCTGCTGGGAATCAAACCCGGATCTTCTAGAAGAAAAGTAAGTGCTCTTAACCGCTGAGTCATTTGGCAGCCTCAATCTTGTTTTATTGAAACATCTCTCAGCAGCCTGGGACGTGCCGCCAAATATACTAGGCTAGCTAGCCAGCGAGCCCAAGTAGTCAACTGCCTTCGCTTCCTCAGCACTGACATTCTAGGCACACAGGAGCATGCCTGGCTTTTCGGTTTTATTTCTCAGTACTAACTAGATTGATTGATTGGGTGCATGCATATGTGGAAGAAACCTCTTGGGAATCTTTTTTTCCTTTCACCATATGAGTCCCAGGAATTGAATTCCTGTGGCTGGCCCAGGTCTGGCTTTACACACATACTGGGGATCCAACTAAGGTCTCTTTCCATGGTTGTGCAGCAAGCAATTTACTGCACAACCCCTCTCCCCAGCGGTCCTATTTCTCCAGTCACAAAAACAAAAACCGTCCCATAATAATAATAAAAAAAAGGGGCCTCAAAATCCTTCTCCTCCTCATGAAAACAAACACCCCAAACACTACAGTCCCCTAAGAGGAGGTCTTGAACCTCTGCAGTTCTAATTCCGGTCAGAGTAAGGAAGCAGAGTGGCAGATGGTCATGTGGTGCAGTACGTAAGGCAGGGGCAGGAAGAGGCTGACAATGCCAGGCAAACCTGGTAGGTCCCACAGCAGCACCCTGTTGCCTGTCCCCAGAGCCAGGGCCACCTCATAGTGGGGTGGAGGGACTTCCTGTTGGGTGTGGTGGCCCTGGGAGCTGTGTTATAAGGGTATTTAGTGGGGTAGGGCAGCCACTGGAGTCTGACTCACCCTGAAGATGGAATGATAAACCCTGGACTGAACACCACCATGCTTGGGACCAGAAACTGTAGGCTCTTTATTGCCCAGAGACTGGCGGGAGAGAACTGGGGTGATCACAACAGAGGTTCTGATCTTTCCGGGCACACTGATTGTACTGAGCTGTTGTGCTCGGCTTTCAGGGTCCCCAGATGCTCCTTCCTGAGGGTTGACACCAGCCTGTGAGCTTGGGAAGACACTCGTCCCACCAGTCTGTACCCACAGGCCTGACACCTGTGACTGGCAGAGCTCATGCACTCTAGCTTACAACCCAGTGGAAAATCTGGCTGTTTCATACTGACTGTGGGGCCTTGGGAAGGTCTGCTTTGGTTTCCTCATCTATGAAAACAAGCGCAATCATGGTG